GTCTTTTGCTCCCCTTCAGCACCATTTTAGAGAGGTAATAAAACTCTTGTGCTGATAGAAAGAACCAGATACAAATGGCTGTGTGAGTCTATTTGTGTCTATAACATGAAGCCAGGGAAAAGGCTGTCCTGGGTCTGGTTTCCAGCTGCAGCATAAATCCATCAGTGAATGTGTCACAAGCACAGGGAAGAAAGCAGAAAGGTACCAGCAGACACTGCAGGACATCCACCAGCATAGTCTCTTAATCCTCCAGAAGTATGAAAGATGGAGGCTTTCACCCCAAACTGGGTGAACTGTCATTTCCTGTGTTGGTGGGGAGTCCCTGCAGAAAGGAAGCAGGGAGACAGTGTCAGACCAGGAGCTTTAATTCAACACCTGCTTACGTGCTTGAGCTCCTCCTCAGCTCAGGAGGCACCGGGGCACCTCGGAGCAGTGTCCTGGCTCACATGCTGGGCTTGCTGCCTCTCACCTGGCTGCACAGCCAGCATCACTGGGACATCACCCTTCCTTCAAGCAGCTATTAATTGAATAATATCATTCATAACAATAACACCAAGCCAGGCTAGATGGGGCTTTGACCTACTTGGTTTAGTGGAAGGTGTCCCTTCCCAAGGCAGGGGGGAGGTGGAATAAGATGAGCTTTAAGTTCCTTCCAACACAAGTTGTTCTATGATCCTCTTTCAGGCACTCAGGGAGAGGCATTCATTAATGAATATAGAACAAACTTTTCTTTTCCAAGCTTGATTCACGTAGCATTTACCTAACTCAGCCCTATTTCAGGATGATAGCAATTTCCTTCACCGGACATCAATTTTCAAAGGGAAAGCTGGCACAGGTGGCTTCTCAGAACAAAGGAAAAGACATAGCAATAATAGTTTTTTCTTTTTTGCTTTGAATGTTTTGCATGCCAGGCTGTGTTAAGCACAAAGCAGATGACATGCTAAGATTGTTTTGGCTGACGCAGGAGTCCATCTCTGTTCTGGTGGAAAGAGATGACAGCAACATGTGTGAGACAGCCTGGCTGAACTGCAGCCTTAATGTGAGTTGTTCACATCTCAGTAGTCTCCAAGATAAATGGCCTTTATCTTGTCTTCCATATGGTTTTGCTTTCCATGTAGTAAGTGAATAATAACACTGACTGAAAGAGAGCAGCTATCAGACTGCACCAAGCTGGGAAATCAGGGAAGAGGAGAGAAATACTTGGAAGGCAGGGAGAAACCCTCCATGGAGGATCCTGATGGAGTATGACAAGATGAAAATGGTACAGCAGCGATGAGCAGCTCAGGAGCCTGAAGAGAGCCTGTCCACAGCTGGGGTGAAAGAGAGTTAATCTGGATGAGAAAGGATCATCTCCCTGGCATTGTTCACTCTCTCAGCTGGGTTTGGACCAAACCACTCACTGGTCAGTTTGCTTCAGGCCAAGCACATGCTTAAGCATGTAGGTGGTTCAGAGTTTTGGAGAGAAGATTTCTTGTCACAACTGACATCAGCAGGAGTTTTGCTGAGGATATACTGAAACTGTGCACTCTGTGATGCTCTAGAGAAGAGGCAGGAGCAACACTGGCTCTACTTCAACTTGATGATTATATCACTAACTTTCACAGAGTAAGTTAGGAGCTGCAAACACAGTCCTTCATCCCAGCAATAATTTATACCATAAAGTATTAGTTGTCAAGGTTAAAGAGATATGAAATACATATTAAAAGCCAAAGTAAATGTACTCAATGAGATGGCAGACCCACAATTCTTTGGTTTTATAAGCCAATTTAGCCCAGGTCTATTAAGAACTCTTCCTGGTGAAAGAGTGAGGGTATTTTCTCTGCTACAATCATATCAGCCTGTACTCTGGGTTAATGGAGATAAGTACTACTGCCAGATTTTGTTCTTTCCCTGCATGTGATCTAATGCCAGACGATTCTGAATGGGTATTAAATCCCTCATGTGCATGACCTCCACAAGGTTTTTATCATTAGAACCTTAAAATAATTCAAGGAAAACTTTCCCTAAGCCTGATCATAAATCTCCTAATGAGGAGCTGAAGTCACAAAGAAAATCCTTTTTTTAATTCTCATTTGTTGTTTTTCTCCTCCTTTATGACAAACAAGCCAAGAATTCAAAGATGCCTTAAAACTGTTTTAATAGAAAACACATAAAGAAGAGCATTCAGGTGAACAGTTCAGGCCCCCAACAGGGTTCAGAGATATAGAAACTGAACAGCCATCTTCAGCCTCCAGTGCACAGGGCAGTAACATCACCATCCCTCAAGGCATGTAGAAGTTACTGTCAGTAACTGTTTTATTCACAGTGCAACGTAACACCTTGTAACAGAATAAATACTGTCCAATGTCAAATGAGAAGTTCAAAGGGGACCTTACCTCACAAAAGTACAAGGCCTTAATGAACACTCTGTTCACACTAACTAGAGTTATGCAAGTGCAGCTGAATTCCTAGAGATTTTCCTAGGAGTTTTCTGTCCTTCATTTGCACAGCATGGAGGATGTATTTTAATGATTTTACTTTTGGTCTTCTACTTGCTGAATCCTGCACTACACCAAGCCTAACTTGCTGCATGTTTCTTGAGCACACAAGAGAAAATAGTTCATATCCTCTTGGGTTTTCTGTATTTCTCATTAGTGAATCGTCCAAAACCAACAAAAGTATTCCTGCAGCTAAATCACACATTGTGAGAACAGGGAGGGGTGAGAAATAATACAAATAAAATAAAAAAATTCCAGAAATTTTGGGGTGTCCAAACTGTCCAAACAACGTTACAAGGGCCTTTATGCTGTACATGTAAGACTCAGCTGTCATTAATACCTATTTCAGCTGGGAATATGCAACATCAGCAAAAAAACCCAATCCCTGGCCAAAACCACAGAAGCAATCATCCTGAAAGAGTTTAGTTTGGGTAACTGAGGAAACTGAACCCAGTTCATTGGGAGGGCACTCAAATGCATGAGACCTTAATCATGGGACCATCCTGCCTTGCCCTGAAGTCCCACACTCATCTCCCATCACCCAGGAAGATGAATCTGAATGATAACATGCTACTTCCAAGATCTGACACTAGAGCAGAGCCACCCAGCATGGCAGGAGACCATTTATTTAGAAATAAATAAACAAAATATGAATAAAAATACAAAACCTGCCTCAACACCCAGAAGTACCCTGTCATGTCACCAAGGATGGCATCAATGTGCAGCACATGGTTTCCCCAAACCAGAGCCACTCTTGCCCACTTCTCATGCAGCCACAGACAGTGCATGTGCAAGCACCTGCTCTATATTCTGTCAGAGATGCAGGTGGCTCTGGAATGGGAGAGGCAGGGATCCCTTGCCAGAGCTCAGAGCTGAACCAGGAGCACTGAGCTCCAAAGAGACACTGGAGAAAACAACATCCTGATGGGTAACAGCAGTTCATTAAATGTTTGAATAAGTCTGCCCCTTCTTCCCTGCAGCTCCAGATGTCCTGCCCTCATTGCAACCTCACCTCTTAGGTAAGTTTGTCCTCTTCACCTTAATTCCATTCTTGTTTTATATTCACTGTTTGTCCACATCCAGTCTCCAACCATCTCTCCTGTTTAATTCTCATTATATTTATCTCCACACTTTCTTTATCAGCCTTGTTAGCAGCTCATTACCTCCCAGCATCTCCCTGACTCCCATATTCTAACCAAAGCCCCTCTTACCTGGTTCTGGTCCACCCACCCACTCCTCACAACCCTTGTGCACACTGATCCCTTGGGCATCTCCACTGTGGCCAGCTTGATGTCAGTCATCCCCATCCCAAACTATCCTCTGACCTAGAAGAGGTGTTTGTCTGGACAAGGAAATAGTTCATGTGGTGAAATGCTAGCAAAGACTTTGGGCCAAAGCCCTGCCTGAATTTGGAAGGCATCAGAACTGGAGCACAACCAAACTCAGAGATAGGCAGTTGCCCCCATCACCCTTTGGTATAATTTTCCTGCCTGGCACCCTGGCCATGCACCAGCAGCACCACTGTGGGCTGTGGAGGAGCAGCAAGGAAAAGGCATAACTGAGTGTGGAAGGAATTAATGAAGCTGTACAGAGCCCTTCAGTGCAGCCAGTGAAACTCTGCCCAAGTGCAGTGTTTTACAGCTGCAAGCAAGCTATTTGTTATCCCAGGCCAAAAAGAAAAAAGAGTTGTTGGTTTCTGTCCATTCCTTAGATGCCATATCTTAAAAGAGCAAAGGAGCAATGCTGCCACCAGGCCTCACCAGAGAGAGAAATGCTGGGGCTGGAGGACAGGCCACTTGTCCTGGGGAAGCCAAACACTGCCCTGGGGTATGGGACACGGGCTGCAGCACCCCGGGATGGTCCATCCCTGGGGATGAGGAGCATTTCTGGCACGGCATCCCGGCACTCCAGCAGCCCAAGAGCAAAGAGGGAGTGGGTTGGCTCTGCAGCACTTTCGAGACAAAGCAATTTTACTAAAAAAGGAACTTGGAGCACTTCAGTCCATCAAGCAGGAGGCTGTGCCAGCTCTGTCTCCATCCCACTCGGTCCCTGGCCAGGAGGAGGAGGAGGAGGCAGGGGGAGGAAGATGGCGACAGACATGCTGCTGTGCACTGGCGGCTCAGGGCCAGCCCAGGGAGCCCGAGGGTCTCAGCCAGCCCACAGAAGGGTGGGGAGGAGCAAACGGGGCTTTGGGGGCTGCTCTCACCAAGGAGCAGCAGGACACTGGTGGGGAATCTCACCCTCTATTTCCCAGTCCTGCTGCCCAGTGGCACTCGCATGTCCCCAGGGCATGAACCCACCCCTGCTGTGTCCGTGTCCCACCCATGCCCTGGGACACCACACGCAGCAGGGACCCCTGCCCAGGGCTGCTGCACTCTCAAAAGCAGTTCTGGCTACATGGATAATATCAACTTATTATAGCATTTCCCTTTATAGCTGTGCTGCAGACGGCCTTTTCAAATCACTGTAAAGCAATCTTGCTTTTTCTTTCCATCCCTCAGTGCAACTTGACAAGCTTTGTGGTTCTTTTCTTAATATGTGGGTTTATTTTATGTCACCAAACACTAGCAAGGACAGAGAGGCTTTTAAGTCACAGTAATCTGAATTTTAGAAATAACAAGCTACAAAGATCTGTGATTAAATGTGGAGCACATAAGAGCAGGAAAAACAAGTACTCTGTGTTCTTTAAAAGATCATTTAGGTAACAGTGACATAACCTAAGCACCCGGTTGCAGTCCAATTTAATCAGCAAATATGTCTCTGGAGCACAACCATCTAACATAGGAAAAGAAACAGAAGTACAGTCACCAGCAGTAGGAGAAATTAATGCATTCCACTTACACAAAGATTAATTATTATGAATCAATCAAAAAACACATTTGCCCTGCGTGGGAGTACATGGACTTCTATTCATCAACATCTAAAGACAGAAGACAATTTTGTTCACCCAAAACAAGCACTACAAAATGGGAACTACCTATTTTAGTCTGCAGCATTTTGATCAAAAGTAGATGCCCAAAAGTAGGACAGGCAGAATATCTGCTAGAAGCAATGTGTATAGGTGCAGAGGACTCTGCTATTTCCAGTATGATTTTTCATGTAAGAGTTTCCTGTCAGTGCTGATTTCTTGATATAATTTGTATCATAAGTTTACTAAATTAAATTTATATTTGCTTCTAATTTTGTCCAGTTTAAGGGCCTCAACTGTAACCTCAATGGCATCTCAAAGGGTCATAAATCAGATTAAAAGTTACCATAGTTGAATGTTTTCAAGAAAAATGAACATGGTGGTTTCAGGAAGGGCAGGAGTAGGCATCTTATTAAGGCCTCCCTTTGCATAGCAGTTCTATTAAAAATACTTCAGAAGGATGATGGGACAAGTATGTCTGAAACTGGGTTATTAACAGCAGGCTTGACTCCCCTGCATCTCTTACATTTCATTTTCCTTTTGTCTCTGGGCAGTCCTGGCATGTCCTTGTGACAGAGCTCTAAGAAAGCATTGCTCTGGGTAAGACACTGTGCAAGAGCAAGAACACAGTGGAAATAAAATTAATTTGTCATTTACAAGAGAAAAGAAAAAGTGCAAAATTAAAGGACAGCAGGAAGCAACTATGTTGCCAACTGGAGGATATTATTTTTTTATTAGATTTGTGTGTATGGAAAGCTTATTCTGTGAAACATTCCCCAAATCACTCCATATTCGTGTCTTAGCGTTCTTGGTGGGATGGGGAATGAGAAACTTGTTTCCTTTTACTATGCAGGGCCAGGGTGAGGTACAAAGCAAATATCAGATGATCCTGATGAGTCCCTTCCAAATCAGTATATTTCATGATACCTGTGATAATTAATCAGCACAACTCCAGATGCTGAGGCTGACTTCACAGCCAGCTTTATCTGAGAGACTAAGAGATGGACTTCCAGATAAAGCATTCTTCCTTTTTTAATATTCTTTTTCTCCAGTGTTAGAGAAGGCTCAGGCCTCACCCAGCCCAAGCCGTGCTGTTGGGCAGTGCTTCCACTGACACTTTTTCCATTTCAAAGTGATGTTCTGCCCTAACATACTTTGTTTGACACCAATAAATCAGGGCAGCTCTTTTAACCATACCCAAGACTGAACAAGGCTGATTTTTTTAGAGGTTAAAAAATTTGGTGATTTTTCAAAAAACCTTTTATTTTTTTCTTTTTCAGTGGCACAGTCCAGCACTCCCTGTTCCTGGCAGCAGCTCAGAAATGCTCTGAGACATGCATCTTTTTATGTCAGTTCTGACCCAAATGAAATCAAGAAACCTTGGAAATCTCACAGGAGATGGATTTTTGTGAGTTTTCCAATTTAAAGAGGTGGAGATAAACAAAGATAAGTGTGTGAGAAAAGATCTGCAGTATGTGGAAGGTTCATCTATAACTAGATATGTCTGCCTTTATTTTTATGGCCTTACACTTTTCTAGAGAGATGCCTACAGGCACTTGATTAACACTGGAGTAGTTATGTAAATGACTGAATGGGACAATAGATGTAGTAGAAGAAAGACTTCATTCTTAACTCTGACAAATGCTTGCTTTCCGAAGGAGAGATTGTTTTAATTGGCCAGCTAGCTGCTTAGAATGGGTTAGAAAGGACAGGGAGAGGACCTTCAAAAGCCAAGCAATTCTGAGACTTTTCCCAAGCAACAGCAATGATAAAAGAAAAAGCTTGTTTCTGTTACTAATAATTTAAAAATGCTGCACTTTGTCATCAATCTCAATTTGCCATAATGAGCCTTGCAGAAGTTCAAAAGTTGCAGTGGGACAAAAAATGGGCTTAAGGGATGTTGGGCAATTCAGAAACGTGATTCCAGTTGCACCAGATAATGTCTGTTCTACCCTAAATAATATTTTACTATTATGCCTGCTGTGAAGACTGTATGTATGTATAATCACGTATATATTTCTAGATACACATTAATATAGAGTCCACGTGTCTATGTGAATGTTCATATTAACAAATGTCAAAGGGAAGACTCCTTCAATAGATATAAAGGTTTAATTTCTTATCTAGTGTGTTCCATGTTTTACTTGGTTGAAGGCCTAGTATTTACATGTTTAATTATCTAAGATTTCCTCTCTCCCAAGGAACACATCATGTTCAGTAAAGTAATGAAACGTAGAATAAATCTTTCTAGTGGAATAACTACATGATACTAAACCCATGTTTTATCTTATCCCCACTATGTACTTCAGTGTACATGGTTCTTTAAGTGTATCCTTGTAGCAACCAGACTTGCCATAAATTAGTAAGATGATATTACAGCTGAATTTAATTTCAAAGTCTCTCAGCAAGTTGTTAGGCATTTGTTGTCTAGGTCACTGCTGAGGAAATTTGAAAACTGATATGATTTATGAATATTACTATATTAGTACAGTATAAAAGGCTATGGGGAATACAAGCACATAAACTTTTGTTTAATTTCGTTCCAATAAAAATTTCATTTCTTATAGCAAAACAAACAAGTAAATCAATGTTGAATGATTCTGTTGTTTTATTAAGTAACTTATAATTTGCCTTTATACATCCAAGCCAAGTAAAATCTGAGACCCTGCTCATTTTTGTTGAAACATGATTAGTTAACACTTAGAATTATTCTGCAGAGGTTGCTTCCTTGAATGGCATCCATAATGTGATGTAAGAGAAGAAAGTCTAGGAACAAAAGGCTTGGCTTTTCCCCGCTATGTATAATTATCTTATCCCTATTATTAGCCAATTTTTCAATGTAAACCTATTTCTTCTGAAGTTTACTCAACTTTTCATGGGATAATTAGTTTCCTAAAATTCCTACAACATCAGTATTCAATTTAAGAAATGCTGTTACCTTGAGACTTGATGCTGTACAAGTTCCATGGACACAGAACTCCTGTTCCTCATCATGTAGCCCATCCCCATAACTGGGGAACAGCCCCATCTGTATGAGTCCCTCTCAGCTCACAGAATGGGAAATGCTGAATAGCGAGAAGACAAGGTTAAAATACTCAAAGCTTTGGCCATTTTTGCCAAATCCCAAGCTAATCACAGCTTGTATTAATCACCAGCTGAAGATTCAACTCTCCTTTAAGAAAGTGCAGCCTGTGGGACTTGCACATGGAGGATCATGGTGACATTTTGGAGGATCTGGCTGTTGCTGCCTAAAGCATCAAGTCCGTTGGCTTTTGCAATACGATGCAATGAAAATGTCCCTTACACTAGTGAAGGACTAATGTAAGCCAGTATAATTTCTAATTTATTGTGAGGTATATATGTTAGCTTCTCAGAAATATTGCAGACATTTCTCCATCACTGGGAGGCAGTAATCCCCAAGCTTAACTAGGTTTTCTCTTGGACATACTGCTTGACCTTAGGTGGGTCACTTAATGTTTCTTCCTCTCTGTTTTGCTGTCTATAAAAATATGACAATATTGGCTCACATCACCTGCTGAATAAGCCAATATTCAACACAAATAGCTGATGTGAGATTAATATTTCTAAAGTACTCTGTTGCTGAGAATTGCTGTCAGTCCAAAGTGTATGCTACTGTAATTATGGTATGCAACATAAATCAGGCAGCTCGTGCCTGTTCTTGAGCCTGCCTCTGTGTCTGCAACCTGACTTCACATGTAGATGTCCAATGGAAAAGAGATTTAAAAATAAATGTGTCCTTGAACATAGATAAGAAACTTTCAGCCAATGGAGAATGTCCATCAACACCCACCTAGGGATACAGGTTTTTTTCCAGACAGTTTTGTCTGATTTAGTTTCTTTGTGTACTCAAATCCACCATTCTGGCTGGAGGAAGGGACAGCTTTGAGAGAAGGGCTGAGGTAGGTCAGGGTACAGCAGAGTTTGAAAAGACCCCTCAGGGTTTTGATTCACGATGTCTGCCAAAGCCACACGCCTGATGATGGCCGAGCACGAGGGGACAGCAGTCCTGCCATCTCCATGTGTCCCTCACTCCGTGCCCAACTATAAGATCCAACAAGCCACGCTGCTGCCCACTCACCAATGAAGTACACAACTACTCCCTTTGGCTGGAAATTCCCAGAGAAAGGGTGACTGGCCCATCCTTTTTCCATCCTCAGAGAAAATATCAGTTATATTTTCAGAGGTGAGCATCACGTACCTTGCGTCAAAGCCTTGTATAAATCCTAATGCATCTTCTGCCACACAGAGGAGGAACAGAGAGCTTTTCAGCATGCATAGGAGAGCTCAAAAATATTATTTTCTTTAAAACTGTGAAGTCATCAGAAAGGGCTGAAATTTTAGAATGAATGAGATTCCATTTATACTAAACAACTGCTGAGTTGAATCTTTTCCTTCTTTCTTCAGTGTCTCTTTAGCTCTAACTTGCTTCCTCCTGGAAAATGCTCTGAAAATTTTGGGAACTATAAGGGGCAAGAAACAACTATTCAGACACAGCTGGCCCAAGGCATTTCTGAAAAATAAGTCACTCTATTCTCACTGTTGGGCAGTGGATTTTTCAGCAAAGTGGAACAGTGGGTAGAGCAGGCTCCCCCCCCCCCCCCCCCCCCCCAACTCTACATTTCCCCAGGGAATTCCTATAGATTTCTCAGCATCCACCCAAGCAATGTCATGGTGCAGCTGCACTGTGTTATACCAACCCAACATGTGTCCCCATGCCTGCAGATTTGTACACTTTTGAGGGGAGGACAGCATTACACAGCTGCTTTGGCCAAAGCGTGGGTTGGTTTGTTTGCATGCTAGCTTCCTATAAAATGAAGAAAAAACCCCGAAGAAAACAACAGCCTGGAGAGAAAAAGTCCCAAAATTCGAGAAATTGTCAACTCCAAGAAATGTGGTGGGTGTAAAAGCCACAAATCAAGCTTTACATCCCTATGCAGCATCTCTGTTTGCTGTGAACAATGCTCAATGGTGAGAGTGGGGAGCCCCGTGAGCACTGCCTCCCACTGCGGACATGCCTCCCATTCCTGTGGATAGCAAGCTCCCCTTCCCACAGACACCCCCAAAGTGCCTCTGTCTGTTCTTCACAGCACTGGGCAGGATTTTGCTTCCTCTTTGTAAAGGCCTTTCCAGCAGGATGGAAGCGGGCTTTGCTCCAGGAGCTGAGGGTACATCCCCAGCAGTGTGTCAGCGGTAGCAGAGCAGGTCACTGGGTACAGAACTGCCTTTTGCACTGCTGCAATTGCTGGGGAGATGAGAAGCCACTGCCTCACTCCAGGTCCAGTTGAGGACTGGGTTTGGCTCATCAGTTTTAGCCCAGATCACACAATGTTCACAAGGGGTGAGACAATAATTCATCCTTGTTAACCTACATAAGTCAGGAGAGGACAGAAGAAAATGTTAGCTATGTGACTAATATTTGCATATTGCCATTCATTAAAAACCATCACTGAAATGTGACTCAAAAGGAACTAAATTAGAGATTTTTCAACCAACACTTCTCCAAAATTTGAATAACATGGATTTAAAAAAAAAAAAAATCTTTTGGCAAATGTACAAAATGAAATGATCATGAAAAAAATACCAAATTTATTTATCATGAGCATTCTCATCTCTGTGAGTTCTCTGTAGCAGCTGAAGGTATTACAGAGACTATAGTGCACAGAGTGCTTTAGGGTGAGAATGTGCTTTTGAATAGGTTATAATTCATTTAAAACACAAAATGAGTTTTAATGCATGCAGTCAAAGCATTAGAAACTCTTTTAAAATAAAGGCTTTGTATATATTGGGTTATTCAATAGATGTAAGACCTCACTTATTCAGTGAGTGGAAATAAAAATTACTATATAAAACTGCTTTTACTGTGTCCTTTGCTGCTTTGGAAGCTATTCTAGATGTTGTTACATCTTGCAGAGATGATAACTTTGTATTAGGACTTAAAATCTTCAGTCCTTCCAAAAGATATTACACAGCTCACTTGCACCATGATATTTGGGAAAACAAAATGCATGCCCACCTTCATGACTTCCTCAGAGAGTTGGCCTGGCAAGTCCACATAAATCTTTCAGCTGAGATTTGAGCACTGAGAAGGAGCTACTGAATTGCTGGCAATGTGAGCCAATATGAACTAATATGAACTGCATGTAAAATTTTGCTTTGTCCGGAATTGCCACTTGGAGTGAACTTGTACTAACAGGCTCGTCAGAGACCTGCCAGGGGAGTCTCTCTGGCAGGCTGTGAGCTGCAGCTGGAGCTGCCTTTCCTTCAGTTTGCTCTGAGTTTGGGACATGCTTGTGCAGCTCTGCTATAATCTTTTAGCTGGAGAGGAGACAGAGAGGAACCCAACAGACCTGAAGCAGACGAATCTCAGGATAATCCCATTGCAAACTCAAGCCTTGGGTGAAACTGCAAAAGTGAAAAGTTTATTGAGGCTCAGACTGGGTCTAAGGCCATCTCGTCTGGGCTGAGGAAGCTGTGGACCCAGGAGAGATGAAAGAATGCAGTTTGCTTGTTTTAATGACTGCCTGGGATGCCTGTAGCCAGAAAGGCATCCCCACCCCTAGATGAGAAGACCCACTCCCATCATGGAGCCATACACAGGGAGCTCAGTTCCCACCAGGCATAAGCTCAGCCCATCCCTCCATCATTGCCTACTTGACCACTAGCACAGCAGTGAGGCAAGTTTCACAGGGAGAAATAACACCTTAAACCTTTTAAAAAACCAAAGAAAATCCCAAGCGGACAAGCTTCATCAGCTGCACCACTGAGTCCAACAATGCACATCACCGTCCTCATGAACTCTGTCTCAGCAAAAACAATACTTGGGCTTGACTTGTTTTCTGCTCTCTCAAGCAAAGAAACTGTTGTTGCTCCCTTAAGAAAGCACTTCCCCATTCACAGGAAGATTTCCCTGATACTTTGCCAAGAGTTGTATAACAAATGGCTGATGAAACAAATAACAAGAACAGACCAGAGAGAAGAGAGGAAATATCTAAAAAGAGGAAAAGGACAAATGAGTCTTCAGAGAATATGAGCTATAGAGGATGGGCTGAGTTTATGTCTGGTAGATTTTGCTTCATTTCCAGTAATTCATGTTCTGTATGCTTCTAGAAACAGATAGATGAAATATTTGCAAAACCCACACCACTGGGTCCAAGACAAGTTGTGAGAAAAAGAAAAGTTTTCTAAGTTTTGACAGTCAAAATAGATTTGTCACTAGGCCAACACATAGAATTTTCCCCATCTAACTTGGGCTGAAATAAGAAAATGGGATAATTTCTTCTGTGCCTGGTTTCTCTGTCCAGTGGATTTGCTCCACCACTGCTGTCCCCACACTGGATGGTCCATGGAGCTCAGCCAGCACCTTTTGTCACAGTCCTTATTTTCTTTCAGGCGTTAAATAGTGGTCAGTGCATGGACAGGACTATCCAAACCTCCAAAGACAAAGGCACCCAGCAGATACTCTGAAGGCATTTTGGTCAGGGTGTCTGAAGAAGGTGCCATCACTGCTGTCAGACACTGGGACAGGGACAGCACTGCTGGCACATCAGTCCAGCCTTGACACTGGGGAGGACTTCAGAGGAGTTCAGAAGCAGAAAATCTAGGAGGAGAAAGGGGAAAAAACACAAATAGGAGACAAAAAGAAAATGAGAGAATTAAAAAAAACCCTATGCTGTGTAAAGTCTGCATATGAATAATATTAAAATAATGCTCATTTATAGGCACGTTATGATCAAGCAGTTATTTTTATTAACGGCATCACCCTAGGACCACTTTGCACATCTGTGTTTTCCATTAACACCAAGTAGCAGCCTCTGGAGCACATATTGTTCTGCGTGTGACTGTGAACACCAAAACTGTTACATAGATATTAGGGAATAATTCCCTAGATAAGCTGTGCATGTATTCACAAGTGAAATATGCAGCCACACCAGTGTGCACACAGAAAACACTCAATTTGTAAGAGCAAAACAAGAGCTCAAGGCAGGTTAGTACTACAGAGACCAAGCTCTGAACTGGCTGCAGCAATCCATCAGGACCTGTAGCTGCCAAAAGACAGTGTAACAACCTTTCAACATGACCACATCTTAATTTTTGTTGGGGCTGGTTTCACCAGCTTTCCTCAAGACTCGTCTGTGAGTCCAGAATATAACTTGGACAAGAACATGCTTATTCTGACCATTTAATGCATGGTTTAGGGAAAATCAGGTGTAACTAAGCCCCATAAACTATCACTACCTCCTTCTGAAAAGTCACCTAGCAAACTAAAATTCATATGAGTAGCAGACTTAATTCCTAATAAAGTTTTCGTGTGTTTCATTTTTGCAATATTGGTACAAAGGAAACTCTCACACACACAAACAGACGTTTCAGGTGACAAATGCCAGCTGGAAATTTCAGGTGAGAAATGCCAGCTGATTACCAGCAGTTAGGTTCTAAAACACAACCTGGTTGCAAAAACTAGAAATTTTACCATTTTTATAAGAAGACATTAAAGTAAAGCTCATTAAACCAGTTCACCACTGTATCAGCAATTCTCTATTTCTGTGCAGTGATATTTTTTCCTGGGATAACAGTATCCATAGCAATTTCATGGGTGGGGCTCACATCAAGGATATGTGCTGCAAGCTGGAAAATTGCATTTGATCTCTCTTTTCCTTATCTCTTTTCAGGTTTTCTTTTCTCTTAAATTTAAAGACAATTTCATTAAAGAAATTATTTCCTTTCTTTGGGAGGCTGAATCAGAAGGCACTAAAATCAGTGAGAGCCTTTCCATTAATTTGGGAGAGCTTTACATTAGACTTTCAATTAGAAACAGTCAAATGTAGAAGCATAAAGAAACCAAAGATAAAGGAGAGGGGAGCAGGAGGTGGAAATGTTTCATGAACATTTACAAACCTCTAAGGTTTCATTTGGCTTTATGTTAAATTTAGGTCAAAGGTTTGGGTCAGCTTTTGTTCTCCTCAGCCCCCGTTTGCTCTGATCTTCTGTTCCAGAGTGGGATCTTGACAGATGCACTGTGAAAAGGGAAAAATCAGTTTGAAAAGCTGGACTCAAGACCTGCTAGAGGCAGAATGATGAGACAGCTGCCTTGCAGTTTGTTTCGTGTCAGAGAGAACACAACTGGCTGAGATAAAGTAGTGCAGCACTGGGCTGAACACTGCAGGTATCTCCAGGAAATGGCATCAGAGGGGCACGTTAGAATTAATGCTCCTGCTTGGCCTCTCTGCAATCTCCTCGGTGCTGACAAGCCCTTGAGTTCTGGGGCTCTGCCAGGCCTGAGGCAGCAGCAGTGGCTGTGTTTGCCACTTGTAAAACTACTCACTTGAGGACAGCATTTTGTTGACCAGTGGCAAAACACCAAATCTCCCACAGGGAGAAGGATCACTCATCCTCCAAAGGTCACAGGACACCAGGGTGGCAAAATCATTGTCCCCAGCAGTCTTTGCCTGCCATTGACAAGAGAGGGTGAGGAACAAGAAGATTTTGGCACTTATGACACAGATATACAAATAAGGCAACTCTATAAGAAGAGACCGTATCTTCAGCTTAATTTCTGTTGATATCACATTTTCTTCTGTGTTTATGTGAAACAATATTATTTTCCATGGTTTTGAAATCAGCTCAGGACACAGTTGTTGTCTCACAACATTTTGGAAACAGCATTTAGGAAACATTTTCAGCCATGAATATTTGAAGATTATTATATTTAAATCAGTTCCAAATATGAGATTCTTTTTCTTCTTGAGGGAATTGTGCTGTAACACTTAAATCCTTTATATTAATTTTTTCCCTTTCTGATTTGAATTCTGACATACTGTGGATTTATGTTATTACTTTTCATCAGTAGCAAGTACTTTCCATTCTAGCAGGCTCTCAGTGGTGTCTGCACTGAACAACAGAAAATACCTATTCCTTGGAGGAGTTTTCTCTAGATAATTTTTTAATTTCTATTCTGTTTTTAATTATCGGTATTCTCTAGTGTTTCATGTTCCACAGAAACTTCCAATATTTTTAGGACAAATTTTCAGACACTCTAATTGTTTCCTTGTGGAGACTGAACTGGATCCATGGGATGGTCAGCCTTAAATACCTGACACCTTTTCCTCTTGTTTTCTCCCATGGGCTGGTTTATATCAGGTTGGCTGAAGTATTGCTCTAACAGAGGGACTGGATGCTGTATGCTACACACATCCAAGCAGTACCACTGTAATCAATTAGTAACATGAAATAATTTCAAAGAAAACATTTCATTTGTCCCATGTAAATAATATTTTCATTACTCATTTCAACTGGCCAAACAGCAAAACCAAAGTTTTTTTCTTAATAAAAAGAGAATGATCTTAAACACCACAAATAGAGAAGTTGCTGGAAATTTCCTTTGTGGGAAGGGATGCAGCAGAATGGGAGTTTTATCCTTGGGTCACCAATACTTAGGGTCAACCAGGGGACTACCTTTGAAAAAATTAAAACTCTCCTGAGAAAAATAACAAATTATTCCTTCTGACTGACTCCAAAGAAGAAAAAAATGTAATTTTACCCACCACACCCCATCTGATCCCTGTTCATGCCTGGGAAGATGCATTTCTTTCGGAGTGAGCCCGTTGCTGTCACATCCTCCCATCAGCTGAACCCTGGGAGGTTTCTCTCTGTTGTGCTGCCAGGATGCTCCTTACATCCCTTCTGGAGACACACTGGACAGGTCTCAGCACACTCAGCAAGAGACTTTCAGTTCTATTTGCACAGAGCACTCCTTTTCCATTACAGGAAATCAGGGAAGGAGAATTCAGCCCTCCCTTTGGCTGAGAATCATAATTCTTGGGCATTCTGTAGACACTGATGTTTAGGGTACACTCAAAAGACCCCAGCACATCCTCAAAACAATTCCTGAGCTTGCTTAGATTTAAAAAAAACATAATGTCACTGCTGTTGATGTCATTTGGGTTCAAATTTATGAAAAAAAATATATTTTTGATTAAATAAGCACACACCTGTACACATACTCACACTTCAGAGGATTGGGAGAATTAGATGTAAATGGCTGTTGATGAAACTCAAACACTGTGTGCTGGTGCTGGAATTCAGAGCCAGCTTTCTGGGATTAGGTGTCCCTGACTAACCTCAGCTGTTAGAAATTATTGTGGAGCTTGCCCCTGGCAGGTGAGGGTCGCTGTGAGGAGGAGAACAAAAGCTTTTCTTCTTTCTTCTGCCTCACCCCTCTGCAGTATTGGGCAAATGTGGTTTTAATTCAGAAATACAAATATCATCTTCAAAGTCACTCTGAGAAGGGAGGGTGGGGGAAAGGGAGAGGAAAGAAAAAAACCCAACCAAACAATTGGATTGCAATTTGTCAAGATTTTTTTAACTCCAAAGTTGAACTATAAAGTCTTAACAGCTGACTGATGAGCCAGTGGGGGAGGAAGAGAGACCAGGAGTGCTGGAGTTAATCTGCAGTGCACTTGAAATGCAATGAAATTTCTTGCTGCTCCAAACAGCATCTAATATTTTGCTTTCTTCAAGGCCAGCCCTTTTCTGATGTAAATAATCCTGTGATCCCATGTCACCAGGAGTCTAGGGAAAACAGCTCCACCTTACGTGCTGTTCTTGGAGCGCTTGGAGCAAGGCAAAACTGTCACCAAAGGCTGTTTGGGAGCATTAAGTAGCAAGGAAACATTTTCCCCCCACCTTAGGCTTTTGGAAGTCTCCAGGCTGGGAGGTATTTTTGTTTCAGGTTGTGACAGCAAGGGCTGCAGCTCTGACAGCAGATGTGAATAATGGAAAAGGGCTCTGAACACGAGAAGTCACTCTGAGCGCTCGCTGAACTTCCTTGATGTGTGTGACATTGACAAAGCACACCCCAAGGGTTTCTGGAGCACACGGAGTTTGCCTGTTCCACGTGCTGCTTTTATGAACAGCAATCAAGCTGCAAACATGAAGGCAGCTGAAACACATGTAGGCAGCGTGTGTGGTGGGTGGCTTCCCATGCTGTCCATGGGTGGGAAGCACAGAGCCGCGGCCAGGGCAGCAGAAACAAGGTTTTGCCATCAGAGGAGAGGACTCCTGCTCCCTGGCAGGGCTCATGCTGGGTGGTCTAGATGGTGGTGGTTCTACATCATCATGTTGTCTGATTGTATGACACACACAGCACCTGGAAGCAGCTTTTGGGATGCACAGAAGCTCAACCAGATACATCTCACAGGAGGTGACGTGTGAGCTGGATACACTCCTCACCAGTGTAAGAAAGTGAAGCCTTCATTTCCAAGCACAGAGGCTGGAGAGCAGGGTCACAGCTCAGCAGACTGTCAGCCCAAGCCCCTCTTCCTTAGTCTGTGAGGCAGTGGCCCATCAATCAGATACACATTTCACAGAGCTGCATTAGTGAATCAGCAGCACTGAGAATCCTGTTTCCCCCTCCCACATCCCCATCCTTCAGAAGGCAAAGTCTGTTTCTACAGGGAATGAAAGCAGGATTAATCCCCCTCTGATTTCCTCCTCTAACTCCTTCTCCCTGACACCCCATTCCAGCTTTCATCCTATCTGGGCTATTTAGTCTAGAGCAGGGAAGGCAGAGAGGAGACTTGATAACAGCCTTCAATTATACAAATGGCTTATGCAAAGAGGAAGGCAATAAATTTGTATCCATATCCACAGGAAAGCACAAAAAAAGTAATGGGTTTAAATGCAGCAAGGGAGATCTGAGTTCAGAACTAGAATAACTTCCCTGCTGCAGGGGTCACTGGGCACTGGAGGGGATTGCCTGGGCAGGCTGGGGGATCTCCACGCCTGACAGGGTTAAAAAAACACTTCAGACAAACGAGTCAGGAGTGGTTTGTGTGGGGGTGGATGAGGTGACCTGTTCAGGTCCTTTCTAGCCCTGTTTTCTTCTACACCATGGTGGTAACTACTCCAGCCTCCCTCCTCGGCACATAACCACAGCAAAACTCCACTCCTCTGTTTTTTGGTATAGGTTGGCAATCTTGTGGCAGCAACACAATTGGGTCAAGGATCTGATGAAGTCAGAAGACAGGATGATCCCTCAGCACAGAGCAGGCATAACTGTAAGGTCCTGAAGCACCCAATTATTCTGCCTAACCCTAAATAATTTAATTTTCTCTTAAACAGTCAGCAAGAGAAAGTCAAGCTCCTAAGAGCTCATCAGCTGTGCAGAGGACAAGAGATCACGCTCACAAACACACACTGATTCCAGAGCAGTGGCACCTCAGCAGCCTCCCCACAAGTAAGACAAAGAAAGTTACTTTGCCCTGTGCAAGATTACCAAATACCTTGGAGTGTGCTCATGTTGGCAACTGGTAGAGCCTCATCCTGCACAGCCCTGGCAAAAAGGAGCATCCCTGGAGATGCTCTGCTCAGAAACGCACTTCTCACCAAATTGCACTGAAAATGGGATGGATCCTGTGTTTACATAAGCACATCCTTAAGTGCATTGCTGGACTGGGGCCTTACCCAGCTATATTCCAGGCTCCTGGAGGTCAGTAGGGATTGATTAGCTTCTCTGCATGACCTGGGCACTGAGAGCCTACATGTGTCAGAATGAGGATATTTTCCAGCATATAATTTTTCTCACTGAGTTTTAGATATCTTAGGCAGAAAAGATGGCCAATAACAACAAAGTCTGAAGGCAGTCTCTCCTTCAGAAAGAGAGGTGTGAGTGAACCCTAACAGATGTAATTTGTATCATTACTGCTGACGAAGTTAGCAACCTTTAGCAAGGAGACATGATCAATAGCTACTTGAGAAGATACAGCTGCAGATATCCAAATGGATGTGAACAAGGAAGAGAGGTGTAAAAGGCAATAGCTGAATATTTAAACCAGATGAATGTTGTAAGGTAGGTTATTGACCTTGAAAGAACCAGATAAGTAAAAAAAGTAGAGAAGGGCAACAATGATTTATGTACTTGCCCTGCACAAATATTAGAATGGCTTATTCAAGAGTGTAGTAAATTATGAACAAAGTAGAACTTTATTAGATTAATGACAGAGGAGTTTATATAGAAAGGCTGGCATCTTTGGAAAATGGATAAGAGAAATTAATTTTATTTTAACTCTTTTGTTTTAAGGATTGAACACTTTTTTTTTTTTTTTTTTTTGGTGCCGTTCAGCTATCTGTCTTACACTTTGTGATCATATATCTGTTTCCAGATCCTTTGTGACAACAGTAGAACTCAATGTTTGGAAAGCAACAGGACACCAGGAAGGTGCACCCATGGAGACAGAGATGATAAGTACTAAAATTTTATCAAAGATGATAAAAGCTAAAAGCAGCTCAACAAGGACCTGTTTCTAACAGTGTGGCAAGAGGTGGGAGTTTTAGAATTGACCAAGAGGTTCTCAGACCTTTATTGTGCTTACTGTAGTGATGTCCAGAATCCCGAGTCTTGCATTATGCATGCTGATGTCCCTAAAAAAGGCAAAATATGACAACCACCTCCCACAGGCTTTAAATCAAGCAAAGCAGGGTAAAGTTTGGTACAGCAACAAGGGGCCACAGCATGAAGTGATTCACATGTGGTTGCAAAGAAAGCTGGGCCAGGACCTCCACATTCCATTTCCCATCCGAATGCCTAATCTAGACTAAAGAAAAGAACATTTCTCTCTGCAAGGACAAACTTTTTAAACTGGCTTAAAGGATTCTGTTTAGGAAAAAAAGCCTCAACACCCCCACCCACCACCCCCAAAAAGCCAAACACACACAAAAAAACCAACCCCCCCAAAAAAAAACCCCCAAAAACCCACAATAACAATAAAAAACCAACAAAAAAAACCCCAAAACAAACAAAAAAAAAACCAAACAAAAAACAAAACCAAACCAAACAAAAAGAGAAAGAAAAAATCCACCCTAAACAGTTCTTAAAGTCCGTAGTTTGGTTTGCAAAATCTGTGTATTAATCCTTACCTGTTTATACCAGAGGAAGGGACAAACCAGTCATCACAGCACTCGTAATTGAGCATGGAAATGTATCTGTAATCATATCAAGTCCCAGCAGTGACTCTAACAACTTCTTGGACCATTCCCATCAACAAAAGAACTAATTCCACAGAGAAAATGTTCAGGGGCACAGTTTGCACCAGTTAATCAGGGCATGGTGAACTGCATCACTGGGGCACACCAGCCTGATGGTCATTAAGGTCTGTGACTGCCTTTTGCTGCAGAATGTTGCAGGACATTTCTCCCTCTCTCAAAATTTTTCATGGAGGTGCACAGAGAGAAATGAAAGAGAAAACAATTTCTATTTCTGCTCCTTGTTCTTCTCATATGAAATGTGTTTAAAAAATTGTTTACCTAGAGTGAGTGCTTAATTAGATTCTAGTGAAGATTGTTTGATCCTGATGACCAATCCAATCTACCTGTACCTAAACTCTCAAGAGAGGGTCACAAGTTATGTTAGAGTTAAATATAAAGTTAGAAAAAATAGTATGTAGTTTTAATATCTTCCTTTATACAATATATTAATGTATTTGAACATAGTTATAATAAAGAAATCATTCAACCTTCTAAATTGAGTCAGACATCATAATTTCTTCCCATTGGGTTCACCTACATTTACAACAGCAGGAGGAGTGGGTGCTGTACTCTCCTCCATCCCTGAGACTGCACTTGATGAGATCAGTGGCCGAATTCTTACTCCATCCTCAGGGTCAGGCCCAAGGGGCTGGCACTGTGCTGCTCATTATTCACCACCTGCCATGTACAGGTGACCTGGAAACCTGACCCACAGCCCAGTGAGCCCCCTTTGGATTCCTCTGTGCTCCAAATCGAGCCTCAAGAGAACAATTAGAATGAACGAGCTCAAATAAAAATGAGTTTTTGGGAGTGTATTTATCATCAGTTTTGTGTTCTGCCCTTTGCTCCCTGAAAAACCCCTGGCTCGGGTGTAATGCAGCTGAAGAAATTTCAGGGTAGCACAGGATTGCATGTTAATGGACATAGAAAAAAGAGCTTCTTACAGGGGGAAAAATAAAGATGGCTAAGAAATAATAACTATTTAACAGCATAACCACCCACAGAGAATAAATTTCACATGTAGGATAGTGCAGATACAGCTATTATGGAAACATGAATCTTCAACTCCCTTACATTATTATATTTTCCCTTCCTTCTAAGGTTTGTTGGAAAAGTAGAATATGCTAATAAGCCTCTCTGATTTGTCTCCCTTGAAGTTTTGTGTGAATAAAGTAACACATTCTATTTGAACTTCATAATTCATGTGTAATTATTTTTAGTTATGTTCCCTTCAACCCTCAATGAGCAGCTAACGAATTTAAGAAAATATGTAGTCTATTTGAATTACCTACTGTGGTTTCTTACCAGCATTAGCTTGAGCTTAATTGGCAGCTACAGTCTAAAAAAATCATCATTAAAACTTATCTCAATGCAGGTGTAATCTGGACAAAGAGGTTTCCCCTGATGGTCTCCTACTTCTGTGTTGCTGAACACCTCATCCCGTGGCATTCAAGGCTGTGGTATCTGAAGGCTGGAGTATTTGGGTTCCTCCACCTGCAGGAATCAAGGGATAAATATGTATTTATTGGTCCACAACAGCTGGCATCCTGTGATGAGGTAATGAGGCATATGCAGGGAGGGAGTTCCCATGGGACTTGGGGTGAAAATTCTGAATTAGGCTGGAAAGGCGAAGGCTGGGATGGGGTCTGCTGCTCCTGCACAGCAGTGGCACTGGGCACAAACACTCCTTTGCCCCAAGAAAATGCCAAAAGGAGGCACAAGGAAAAGCAGAGCAGCTCCCTTGGCTCTGTCCTGCCTCTGCTGCACCTTCACCATCAGTGGGAAGCAATGGCTGCCCAGCTTCACCCTCACACCTGCAAGTCTTTCCATGGCCTCATTTCCTCCCTCCTCCACATCCTCCCACAGAAAAGGGTTTATTTGTTAAACAGAAAGACTGACTTCTTTTGCTGAAGTATTTTAAGATGGTCTGTGTCTGTATATGAAAACGGGGACTTATTTTCCTAAATAATCTACATTTTCCAAAGGTTACAGGAAACTATTTTTATAGAAAATTCATAGGTATTATTTGAAAATTTTTTTGCACTTACAGCCTCTTCCTTGCAGGGAACTCTCATCCACCTTTCTTCATGAGATAGTCAACATGTGCATTCATTTTCAGTTTCAAATAGGAAAAAGATCCACAGATGTAAATAGAAAATAAAGATTTTTGTCCTGATGCTGCAAAAAGCTTTCACGACAGTGAAATGCAGAGTTAAAACACACTAACGTAGAAAAAGAAGTCATTTGAATCCATCACAGTGGACATACACTAGTCAATACCACCTTAACACAACACATTAAAAACACCAAAGTACCACCTGCCTGTGAAAGACTTGATTCTTATGAAATTGTTCCTTGAGAAAATGGTCCCATAGAACTTTTTAACTCTACTTAATCAGCACAAAACTAATCAAAGAAGATGACTCTCATTTCCTTTTCTAAATGAAAAATGTCCACTTCATGACGGAAAGGTCAGCTCTTAGGCAGAGTGCTGGTGCACTTTAGAGAAACTAAAATCTGCACCTGGACTTCCTCACATCCTAAATATTTCCCTCCTTCAGTTTGGCTGAGAATTGCTATTTAAAACTACTTTCTTCTTCCTGGTCCCCTCATTATTCTGACAGTTGTGTCTTTCCTAGAATTTACTCTTCCTGTAACATTTCCTTGATAAAATACAATAAATTCTGTTTTATGTCCTAATTCCAGCTAGACAGCTATAGAAGTGTTAAATAGCTACTCTGACATGTCTAATAAATAGCCATCTAACCACATTATAAGTAACTCAAATTCAGCCCAATAAATATTGCAATAAATTTGTGTTTGCCAGTAATCTGTATAAATATCAGTAAAAAGATAGACCAGAAAGGCTAACCATACTAAAGAGCTTTGATTTTGGAAAAGGGCCATGTGTAATATTTTATTCTTCTTAGAGGGGAAAAAAACCCAAAACAAACAAAACAAAACAAAAACCAAAGACTCAAAAAATTGTTTAGCAAACAATAGAGTGTCGGGAAAGGAGGAGATTGTTCAACAGCCTGCAATTTATTTAGACGACAAAAAATGAGATATGCAAAGTAGGGCATGTTTAGCTGAACGTCAATGGCAGTTGCACAACATTTGGATGCATTAAAAAGCAATAACTTTCCAGTTATTAATTAACTCCTATTGCCAATACCATTACCAGCAGCTGGAAATATCTACTGAACAAGACACATGGGTCTTTTTCTTCCACGCTGCAATCCTGTTCTGACTGCCAAAAGTTTTGAAAAAATATTCCAAGTATTTGGCAGACTATTCAGTAGCCTTATCAATATCCCCTTCATCAGCATTTCTTCACCTACCACCCACATTTTGCCATCCTCTGGATGACAGAAGCCAGGAGCATCTGAGCTGGAAGAGGCTGGAAGGAAAGAGAGGGCTGTCCCCACCTCCCACAGCTGATGTGTGCAGCACCAAGCCCTGCCTAGAGCCTTGGACACGCTGTTCCACCAGACCAGGGGTCAGGCTCCTCATCTGTGCTCTCCCTCCTGGAAAAACTTTCTGCATTTCCACTGCTCAGACTTGGACATCTTTAAGGTTCCTTCCTGGCTTTGCTTTCTGGTTAACCAAAAAAACATCCACTCATGTGAGCAGTGATGACAATACCTGCCACAATGCTGTGTTTATTCCGGTCTATTTAGTTTAGGTTGTTTAGGTTTTATTTCTATTTATAAGCTTAGGAAAAAAAAAAATCCATTCAGAGCAAGCTTTTAATACCACTGTTCATTCTTCATTCCCTATTTATATCTTCTGGAGTTCTGTGATCAGAAGATTGTACTACCAGCTTCCCCTGGTGTAAGTTTGCTCATAGAAAAAAAGGCAAGTTACACAATAGCTCTACCGTTACACAAAGGATGTGCATCAACATCTGCATAAGCTAATATTTTCCACAGGGTCAGATTAATGGGTCATATACTCTGCAGCAGTTTCTAATGGCTCATCTTTGGTAAGGACTGTAGAAGCATATAAATTATGAGAAAAATGGAACATTTCTTTGCATTCAATTTCAGTTATCAGTGGTGGCACCCCAGGGAAGTGGTCACAGCCTCAAACCTGGCAGAGTTCAAGAAGCATTTAGACTACTCTGTCAGGCACTCTGGCGTGTCTCTAGGCAGGGCTAAGAGTGGGACTTGATGATCCTTGTGCATTCCTTCCAACTCAGCATACTCTGTGATGTGCATTGAAGGTATGGAAGGTTGCCCATGGAAACCTAAATTTTGGGCAAAACACTGCAGAAGTGAAAACAGCAATTTTCTGGGAGCCTATGAGCCATGTCAGAAACACAGCATACATGCCTACACCCAAACTGTGGGTAGCTTGTCTTCTGCTCCTTGGGACACCACCACACAGAAAGCCTGGAGTTCCTGCACAGCTGCATTGATAGGTAAGCATTTCCCAGGAGCTGATGTACCTGCAGCACGGAGACCAAAGCTGCTCTCATAGGTGACCACTCTTTCCATCCATCCATGGTCATCTTTATCCTGCTCCACTCTTTCCCTACACAACACCCCACAGGGGTCTTCATGTCCCAGCTCTGCAGATGTCTCAGCATGGAAGGGACAGTCCTGGACCTCCTCAGATTCTGTATGGTGCCATCAAAATCCACTCCATCTTCCCCAGCTATGCCTGCTT